TATGTAGAACCCTTTAATTATAAATTTTTAAAATTATATAAAAAAAAATTTAAGAGATGGGTAGGCCTGTGCCTAATGCCTGACTCCTCCCCAACATGATTTTGTAAACTTAGACTATTTGAGTTCATGGTAACATCCCAAGTTATCACAAATTTTAAGCAAGGTTTTGGGTAGTTCTTCACAAATTTTAGCTTAATCTCTCATTAGTGGACTAAATGAGGATTTAGTCAACTAAAGTTAGTTGATTAAAATTTTGTTAAGTCTATTTGAATGTTGATCACCCTACGGTAGTCCCTGAAGTAAAATCAGGCAGTTATTACATCAACGTTTTCTGCTATTTCTATAATTTGAACTTGGGAAAAATTAGAATTAGGTGATTAAAGTGAATCTCAACAGTGAATTTGAAGAAGATTTTATCAAGGAGAAAAAAAAGATAAAAAGAAAAGTTCTCATCTCGTTATGGGTTTGATCTCTCATCATTTAATAATGGTAATTTACTAATTGGGTTACTTAACTATCCTACGAACTCACTCACGATTTAATCCCTAAATTAAAAAATTTTTGATTTAATTTTTATTGTATATCAATGTGACTCTAAGTTAGTCTTTTTATTAAAAAAACAATTGACGTATTAATTACTTAATAGTAAAAAATTATTACTTAATAATTATATATCACATTAATAATAAAATATTTTAATTATTTTTGTACGAAATGATCAATTTAAAATTAAATTGATAAATAATAATGAACAAATCATAAATTTTTTTAAGTTTAAAAACTATATCATAGTTTCTTACAATAATCAAGGATCAAATTAGGATTTAATCATTAATAATTTCTGTTTTTACAGTTTAATATATCAATATCATTTTTTTTTTCGGTTTCCTATCAGTATCCAGGGTTTCGTCCTGACTAATCCAGACTCGACATGCGTCACACACCTGGAAATGGTGGGTGAGTCTCACAGTGAGGGCCGCTGCGTTCACAAGATTTCGAACTCGAGACCTTACTTATACTGAAACAAGTCGCTTACCACTTGATCCAACCCTCGTTGGTATATCAATATCATTTTTAATAAATAATAACAATTACTTCGGAAAGAGAAAAAAAAATAAGGTGTCAGAAGAATTTGACAGTTCCAGCAGCGTAGGTAGGACTGAAATCTTTAATTGCTGCTCTTTAGCAGAACAAATTTCATCTTTTGCTGACAACAGTGGCAAGTGGCAATGCCAGGAACCGATATTGCCACCTGATATATATATTTTTTAAGGTCATTTAAAATATTATTTAATTATTAAAAATAACTAATAATTATAATTATTGATTAATAAAAAATTAATATTTATTATTTAATAAATTAAAATTAAAATTAAAATTTAAACTAATATTTGTAAATATAATATCTAATTATGAATTATAAATAAATAAAATCAATTAAAATAAATATGACTATTACATTTTTTTAAGTCACTTTTGAAAAAGGTTAGGTGGCAATAATCATGCTTGACTTTATATAATTTAAGAGATATATGAATTAATTGTTTTAAAGTAGTTAATAGTTATTAGTTAATATTTAATTATTGATAATTATTATTATTTATAATTTATAGTATATATCATTTAATTAGGGTTAATAGTTTTTTTGATAAATCAAAAGCAAAATTTTATTAAGAGAATGAGTACAAGGGGTATTCACCCATTACATGAAGAAAAAACAGGGAAGGAGAAAGGGAAGGAGTTAGGACTGGGTTGCACAAAGCATTGGAAACTGACCCCAGTCACTTAAGCAAAAACTAGTAGACTTTGACCTTCCTTTAATCCAAGTAAAAGTCTTAATCTGCACTAAATCTGTAATATAATTCTCATCCCAAGAAAGTTTGTTGAAAACAATACCATTTCTGGAGTACCAAATAGCCTAAGCTGTTGTAAAGATGGTAAGAGCCCAATGGTGGCTTGCCTTCTTTGGGATTGGAAGCAAGCAAAGCTGTAGAAGTAGATGGGAGATGTGGTCAGTATGGATGAATTGAAGTCCCCACCAGCAGCATATATGGTTCCAAAGGCTTTGAGAAAATTTGCACTTTGCAAAAACATGGTTTGCATCTTCCATATAACTACCACATAGGACACATGATGGGTTTGATACTAAATCAACACCACGCTGTATGAGGTTATCCTTGGTAGGGAGGCGATTTAAGCAGAGGCGCCAGGTGAAGACACTAACTTTAGCTGGCATCAGTTGATTCCATATCAATTTGCAAATGTTCTCATCAAGGCAGGAAGGAGACACATCAAGAAACAAGTATGCCATTTTTGTAGAATATCATGAGGGATAGTGCTTCCAAATTTTTCTATCTGCTTTGCCTTCGAATATAGTAGCACTTCGCAAAGTGTCCTCCAATATCTTGAGTTCATCCAGCTCTCTTCCAAAAGGGGATCTACGCCATTGGAGATTCCAGCTCTCGCTATTGGTTGGTTTCAAATCAGCAACTGTCGATTCCTTGTCCAAAGTGAGGTTGAATAGTCGGGGAAATTCAAGCTTTAGAGGAGAGCTTCCCA